GCCGACCCCGCCGCCCCCGCCGCCACACCACCGCTACGGCCACCGAGAGTACCCTTGGCGCCGAACAATCATCTGCTTGCCACAAGGTACCGTGATTATGTTACCATTCCCATTTTCGCAGCACCCTCTTATCGACCGAATGCAGCAGAGCTAGGCGTGCCGTGTGCCGCGTTGAAGGGAAAAAGTGATAGTTACTTTATTCCCTGCACGAGATTATGCATCGACTCCTTGGAAAATTAGCGACTACATTTCTTATAAAATTGCAAGTTTTATTTAGAAACGGGTTTAAATTTCACCTAACTGTCGCAACAACACTATCAACAATCACATTAATACTTTTTCGTTAATTTCTTCTTTCACGCACGATTAAATTGATACATTTCGAAAGTAAGAAAGTCTTGATGCGTCTCCAGAGAGGAAATAATCTTCCCAAGAAAATATTCCAATTTTTCGTTGAGCGTCTTATTTTGGAAAACTAGGATTTGTTGAACTTCTAAGAATAATATAAAATTGGTAAAAAACGAAATATACGTTAACTTAATTACATCCCGATTACCTGTAAATAGCCTGTATAGATATTTCATGCTTGACGCAAAAATATCACAATGTTGATCAATAAATTAGCTTGAAAGGTATGTCTTGTAAGTTGATATTTTTTGTTGATTACTAGTATTTTTTTTCAGTAGTACTTGTTTGTAGTATTTTTTGAAGTAGTTTTCTCCTATTTGACTTCGATTTATGTTAGTAAAATGTAATTATATCTTATTACCAAGGATTTGTTATGTAAAATTTGACATAACTTTTCCAGTGCGGAGGTGTTTATTATAAAGACCTACTTTTTCATTTCTGTATGTCTTAATACCACCAGCTGACCAAAAATATTGCTATCCATAATTAACACCTTGGTCTTAAGAGTGCAAACTGCTCATGCTCAGAACTGTAAGGTAAAAAAAACTAAAACAAGTTTACCAGTAACTTCTGCAAAGAAGAAATGATACGTTGGTTTGAAATCAGTGTTGTTTTACGTCTGCACATACACAGCGTAACACTTAAAATGTGTTTATTTATTGTAACATTGATAAAAATCATGAGATAGAATATCCCAAGAAATGATATTTTATCAGCAAATGTTCAAATGAAACGTATTTATTTTTCAATTATTATTGTCAAATAAATCTTACTACTAAGATGTTCTGCATTTTCCTCGATTATTACAATAACCTCAGTCCATTTTCCTATTTGTTTGTCCAAAATTAAGCCACTTTTCAAAAAAAGCAACAAAAATTAAATTCAAAATTATCGGTCAATTTCTCTTTTATCGTTTATTTCAAAAATATTAGAGAAACATTTTAACGTACGAATGGAATCATTTCTTAGTAAACACGACGCGTTTTCAGATTGCCAACATGGGTTTCGAAAATCAAAATCTACTAAAACATACATATTTTCTTTTCTTGAAGATGTCGCCTCATCCATGGATCAAAACGAAGCACCTATTGTAATATTTTTAGATTTTTCAAAAGCTTTTGACGTCATTGATCATAACAATTTACTCTCAAAAATACCTTCGTATGGAATTCGTGGGGTTGCTCTGGGTTGGTTATGTTCGTACCTTAATCATAGATCTCGGAGAGTAGAAATACCTTACTGGAATAACGGAATATTATGTGCACACCTTTCTGATTCTTGGCCAATTGTATGTGGAGTTCCGCAGAGATCGATTTTAGCCCCTCTTCTCTTCCTACGTAAACGATATGCCCTCGACGATTAGAAACGGAAGAACAGTTCTCTTTTCGGATGATACGAATATTCTTTGCAATAAAGAAACCGTAAATAGTACAATAGCAGATACTTCAAATTGATTCCGTAATCACAAATTAAAAGTAAATGAAAAGAAAACTGTTCAATACAGTTTTCTATTTCAAATAAACAGCTCTGCACTTCACTGAAAATGAACGGTGAGCCACTGACTGATGTTTAGGTAACAACATTTTTAGGTCTTTCAATTCATTCAAATCTAAAATGGAACGTCCATTTAAATAAATTGCTACACTTTATGCTTTATACTACGCTTTCAGAATTCTTTCAAATTCAGTCAGCCTCCATATTTCTCGTTGTGTATATTTTGCGAATGTTCATTCCCGCCTAAGATATGGCATAATATTCTGGGGAAATACATCTTATTGTTCCCAGTCTTGTAAATTACAAAAACAAATAGTACGAATAATAAGAAAATTCCACCCACGTGATTCTTGTAAGCCTCTTTTTATTAATCTAGGTATATTACCATTACCTTGTCTTTTTATATATGAATCATAGGTTTTTGTCAAAAATGACTTAAGGGCGGGAATATATTTTCAGTAAACGCTGATATCTATAACTACAACACTCAACGGAATAATCACATTCATCAGGTGACAATATCAATAGCACATTACAAAAAATTCATACACTACATTACATTACTTTACAACACCTTGCCAGATGACATTAGACGATTAAATTAGATTCAAACGTTTGTCTCAAGTAAAATATTTTCTGCTGCACAACTGCTTCTATACAGTTAAAGAATATACCGAGCATTCAAAAGGAAAGTTTGTATTAATTTCAACAACACAATTTAGTGTATTTTTTTACCATTTGCATTGTATAATTTGTAATAACCTGTAAGAGTATTGTTTTTCAGCTTCTGGGTCAATGACTCCCATTTCGATCAAGTTTTCGTCCAGTTTTCCTGATCCTCGAGCAAATGATGAGATGGGCCCTTGTTTTGTTTCTGGACATAAATGTAACTTCAAATTTACTTCTCCTCATAGCCCGTCACTCACAGTTTTAACTACTTTTGACGTGTGTGTGTATATATTGATAAGTCAGTTTCATCTTTGAGTCATTTCTTTCTTTACTATGATATTTATTTATAAACTCCTTGTTGACAACTTGCAGTTGTTCTTCAAATGCATAAAGATTTCTCGATTTGCATATCTGGCATTTTGTTGACAATAACTTCCCTAAGGAATTAAACAAGTGAAAA